TACGCTCAAACAGAAACATTACAGACTAACTAAAGTTGAAAAAGTGAAAAAGCATAATAGGACCCCTTTAAAACTCAATTCAATATTATGTGTACAACTATTTAATTGTGTCATCCTGGTATCGTGGACTCACTCTCTTGTTTCAAACAAACGCAGCAGCTGCAACGAATCAGTTTCATCTTAAATCAATATATTTTATTGCCATAATTATTTATGTGGTGAAATGTTGTGTAATAAGTGCAATGACTCACCGTATCCCTTAAATGTCTGTCTAGTTTGAACTTGCTGTTGCTAGCAACTGCTTTCTTCACAGAAGCTTTGTGTTCAAATATTTCAACTCAGATCAATGTTTCATTTCTAATTATTTCTTTTTGTGGCAGGCAGCTGTGTAATGTACATCCAGCCTGACAGGCTTATCAGCATCCCTAAATTAAATTTGTTCATTATATGAATGTAGTGAATGTGTCTCTTCAGAATATTTGGATTAAACGGCTTAATTTATATGGATTACTTTCATGATGTCTTCGTGAACTTTTTGAAGCATGAAAGTTTTGGTTTCGTGAAATTTTAATGGATGGACTAAAATGTTGAAATAATATATTAATAATTGATTCACTTGTGTTTTGAAGATGAATGAAAGTAGTATGGGTTTGGAATGACGACAGTAGAAAACATGATACAATTTTCATTTTTGAGTAAAGTTTCCTTTTGAAATGAACTTGAATTCTTCCATATGACTAAGAAAACAATATAGGTCTACGCCGCATGTGTAAAGAATCCGTCACACATATCTAAGTCCAAACTAAAACGACCAACACCAGATGATCAACAGGAAATTATACGAGTGACAATTTGGAAGTCTGGATTTACAGACGCACCACACCTGACCTCCACACCCCAGGTGCTGAGACGCACAAAAACGGGTCAAGGTCAACCTTAAAATCTTGCCCTAAGGACGTCAGAACTACTCGTGTTGATCAGTAAGTTACTGTTCCTCACACAGTGGACTGGTCTGAAGCACAAATAACACGCTGCAATGCTATTTAAAGCAGTGAGCTCACCAAACACACTTGTCATGTTTTGCAGGCCCTCTTGAAGCTTCACAGCCAGTGTTAAGAAAATTCTCTTACATTTACAGAGGAATAAAAATACAATGAAATCTGAAAATATTCCATGTTCTAAACATTTCGTAATATTATTGCCCGAATGAATGGCTATATAAATAAAAATAGAGGAAAAATCATACAATACTCTAATGTGGCACTGTTCAGTGTTCTTGCTTAACAGATATTCAGATTTAAAAAGAAAAAAAATGTCAGGAAATGAAAAAGATGGTATTCTTATAATAATAATAATGATGATGAATCTAACTGGATGCACCTGAAAGCATTTGAAGGAATTTAATATTTTGTTGGGATAAAGTCTATTGGGGAGCATTTATGTGAGAGAAGAGTTCATACTTCAACAAGTGTTCTCAAGGAAACTTCTGGAGTTGTTATTTTTTTCTTGGCACCACTGTTACAGTCTGTCACATTTGTTACAAGAAATTCTCCTCTGATTGCTCACCGTAAACTTACACAACCTGAAAAACCTGTTCAATCTCTGCACGGCGAAACTGAGGGGTGCGTTGATCTTACACGACTGAACCAAGATGCATGAGATCTTAAATGACTTAAAAGACTATTTCTGATGAATGGGATTATTACACTCCCTCTAACAGCTATAACTGAATCATACCGATCATTTTACGCACAACGCCGGGCATTATAATTCAAGACAGAAAAAAACACTAAGCAGTCTAATTTTGTCATGAATAGGCTGGGATTTATGAGTTATTCGTACAGGCTTAAAGCTAATTAACCTACATAAATCACAAAGACGTTGCCAATATTACATGACGTCTAAACCACTTTTCTTGACACACATTTACACACTTTCAACTTTTTTTTGAGCATGGTTTAAACTTCTTAAAGTTTATTCATAAACAGTGGTTTTAAATGCTTTTATGATTACATGTTATACAGCTGGCCTGTTTTTAATAACTAAAAAGAAAATTATGTATTTTAAGTAGTGCTGTCAATACAGCATATATTTTGAAAATATTTACATGTATTTATTTATATTCATATAAATTATATCATATATAAATATATTTAATATATAAACAACATATTTTTCTTAAATATATACATGCATGTGTGTGTATTTATATATACATAATAAATATACACAGTACACACACATATATTATGTAAACAAAAACATTTATTTTGGATGCGATTAATCGCGATTAATCGCTTGACAGCACTAATTTTAAGACAACATTGTTTTGGACAGCTTTGATCAAGTCATTTAGAAATGCAACAATTTTCATTTATTTACAAAGATCTGGGTACATTTTTACTTTTGATAATTCTATTACATATTATATATCAATTATGTATATTACAACCCTCTACATTGCGAGTAAATCACTCGCATATGCGACTAAATCTTCACTCTGGGCAACTAAATGATGTCTAATATTAGCCAATGGCTAATAAATTCTCAGATTTTACTCGCCAGTGTGTGAGTTGGAGGCTAAGTATAAGTTTAACTCCGATATGTTTTCACTCGCCGAACACACTGACTGAGCGCTTCAGAGTTTCTCTCTCAGTCAAGCGATTTTTGCTTTTTTTCAGTTCATCTCAATGGATGCGCAGCGCACCTGGATTTGACATACCGTGAACTCTAGTGTAACGGCGCATGACTCGCCGTCGCTTTCTCTCACACACGCAAAGTGAGAGCGAGCAAGCGAAAGAGTCTTACATAACATGCAGAATTGACGCGCTAAATGTAAACGATATTCATATGGGGTCATATGATGCGATTAAAATTTTTCCTTTCTCTTTGGAGTGTTACAAGCTCTTGGTGCATAAAGAAGATCTGTAAAGTTGCAAAGACTAAAGTCTCAAATCCAAAGAGATATTCTTTATAAAAGTTAAGAGTCAACCACTCCTACGTAAAACGCCTCGTTCTAACACACCCCCACATATCTACATCACGATGTGGGAAGATTTGCATAACGCCGCCCAAATGTTCACGCAAAGAAAGAAGGCGTAACTTTTATTCTCGCTGTAGTTTTGTTGCCGCCGCTGCCATGTCGTGAAGGCGCTGTGTGTTTCGTTGTGAAAGCGAAACTACTTTGTTTGGTCTTCCAAAAGAGGACGATATCCGCTTTGTCATGCCTAGAGCTGATCCGTGCTGGTCGCTGAGGAAATACATGAACTTCGCGCTGTGGATCGCCGGATCGGCTTTCACCGTGGACGAAGCAGAGTCCAGCCCGGGGTCGTCACATGTGGTTGCCGCAAGCTCGCTGGCCACGGCGTTCTCAAGCCCGCCGCCGCTCACTCAAGCCCTCCGTGTGTTTCGTTGTGAAAGTGAAACTACTTTGTTTGGTCTTCCAAAAGAGGACGTATAGTATAGTATTTCAGTCTGGCGAGTAAACGAAAAAATGTACTAGCCAATGGCGATTCAATCGCCAAGATGTCCGTAGAGGGTTGATTATTAGAACATATAACAACAAAGAAAACTTTTTAAATTAATGTAATTATTAAATTAATGTATTGACCACGCACACATACTAGTTAGTTTAGTTAAAAAACGAAAAGAAAAGAAAAAGAAAAAAACTAAATGTATATCAATCCTTATTTCTTCTCAATTAGAAAATATTTGAAGACAAGCAATGAAACCATAATTAAATGTGAATAAATTATTTGCTCCACTGAATCAGTAGCTACTTCAAACTTTCTCATACTCATCATAGTGTTCATATCCCACTGAATCATGTGCGTATTGAAATATCAGTAATAAGTTTACATCTGTAAAGCCAGGTGTGTGTGTGCGCGATGCAACATCACTGAAGCAGCTCCGAAAAAATGCCAAAAATGAGAATGATGTAAAAACTGCAGCGCGAGCGCAATGACTGCAAGAAACAAAGGAGCGCAACAAGAGTTGTGCACTTACCTTAAACGCAAACCTCTGCTCTATAGTGGGCAAAAAGGGATTTCAGGCTTTATCTCATGAGCGCATTTACAAATGCAAACCACGGTGATGTTTTTGAAGAAATATTTCTCCCGATTTCACAGTAAAACTGGAATGTGAAGTATGACTTCGGTATGAAATCACGGCGAAACCGAGCGGAGCGCTGGAGGAGGAGTCATGAAGGACGAGGCCGTCAAATCTCCACCCCACTCCAACTTCTCGAGCAAATCTCACGCGTGGGGATCAGATGCGCTCATTGGCTGAGCGTGTTTTAAAATCTAGACTGCATTTTTGGGCATGACTGGTACTTTCCTAACTGACTCAGCTAACTGAAAAAAAAAACGTAATAATAATAAATAAATGCACTTTTTTTGTTATAATTCATGCTGTTGCTACTAATTTTTGGGGCGCATTCATCGTTTTTGGGCATCATAAAAGTGCAAGTAGTACAAACTAACACGTTTTATTTGGCTTCATTTATTTTAAACTCCACTCCACTTAATATGAACTGTTCAATATATTTGTTTTTTTCTTTTTTTTTAAATAGAGCAGCTTTGAAGTGCTCAGACTCGTGTATTTGGTCACAGCTGAAGAATGCACATGTAGAAAAGTGTACATTTTCTCTTTATATTACAGAATTAATACTGGAGAGGACATGTTGGGGACTGAACACATACAGACAGGTGAGAACAAGGCACTTGAAAGTTTGTGAATTCACACAGTAGTCCACAAAGCTTTGTTGAAACAGCACCACCCTAAGGACAACTTCTGTAGTTCATCATAAAGTACATGGTTTAGTAATAAATCAAAAGTGTGTGGACAATTTTAATTGTAGTTTGCAGCTCCACATTTCCCCTCCAGCTTGTCTCAGTGTCTCAAAAAATAAACAAATATAATAATAGTAATAATAACAATAGTAATAATATTAATAATAATAATAAAATAGAAGAAATAAATACAATGAAACAATAGTACATTCATTATTTATTTTCATTCAGCATCTGATTCATTATTTCAGAGATCTCGGATAATTCTCCAAAAGTGGGAAAAATATATGTTTGACAGATATGCGTCACGAAGTGTAATAGAATCGTTCTCGTATTCATGTATTTTTTATGCATCTGTCATGTATCTTTTATGATAAAAAAACAAAACAAACAGTTTTTAGAGTTTATAAAGAAGCATATCCTTGATTTCCTTAATGCATGGGCAGGAAGTAATTAAATATAAATGAACAAAACAAATCACTTTGTTTCAATAGAATATGTTAAAGGAATGCACATTAGACATAAATAGTAAAACAACAACAACAACAAAAATAAACAAAACAATATGATACTATAATTTCAGTATACATATTCTAGTACATTTTAAATTATATATTTTTTAAATGACTTTTAAATGCACACATGTACATTTTTCTGTTTTGCACCTCATATGTGCCTCATATTGCACCTCATAAAACATTAATAAATCTCAGTACAACACAAAATATAATCAAACAAATTTTCAATCACTTTCAGTCATGTTATGTAGCCTGCATTCATCATGTACGTGCAACGCCTGGCTCTGGTGTCAGTTTCTGTTCTGTATCCAGGATAAGTGCATCCCAGTCGCATTCAGGCACAGTGGAAATCATAAAAATGCCCCACATTTTCAAATAACACATCTTACTTCATCGTCCTTCCTGATGATGAAGTTATCGTGTGTTGATTGCAAAGATTTGACTCTTGGTCGAAGAATGTTGTGCCTTGTGTTCATTCGCAGGCCAGTTTGCCATCAAAGCTGGACAGAGCAATAGCAAAGGCTTGCACTGCACACATGGGGTAATTATAGTCCAGAGTGAACATGTCGTCTGCCACCCTTCCAAACTGCATCACAATGTAGCTATCTGAAAAAGAGAGCGTTTACAATCAGGTTAGCTTTTACAGTATGTTCAGGCTATGGTGCATCTCAATAAATTAGAATGTTGTGGAAAAGTTCATTTATTTCAGTAATTCAACTCAAATTGTGAAACTTGTGTATTAAATAAATGCCATACACACAGACTGAAGTAGTTTAAGTCTTTGGTTCTTTTAATTGTGATGATTTTGGCTCACATTTAACAAAAACCCACCAAATCGGGCGAGTACTGGAAAAAGTGGTATCGGTGCATCCCTACTAAAAATGTTTTTTTTATTGGTCTTATGAAGTATTCTAATTTGTTGAGATAGTGAATTGGTGGGTTTTTGTTCAATGTGAGCCAAAATCATCACAATTAAAAGAACCAAAGACTTAAACTACTTCAGTCTGTGTGCATTGAATTTATTTAATACACGTGTTTCACAATTTGAGTTGAATTACTGAAACTCAACTGAACTGAACTTTTCCACGACATTCTAATTTATTGAGATGCACCTGTATAGTAACAACTGAGCACAATTCCAGCATAATATGGAATTATCAAAACAACATATGCTACAAAATTCCAATTTTGTATTTGTAACATTTTGTCCTATTGTAAAGCCAAAAATATTTTTGTGCAATCCCAGTTGAAGAGGTAAAGAATTGTCAATATCGCCAGTATCACTCACTGTCTTTGCTGTGGACGATCTGGAAGTTCTTGACAGAGGCCTGTGTGACCCGACCAGAGAAGTTGAGGACATAGGAAGCTTTGTCATCATTCCAAACTGGAGTTTTGTTGTGGAGTTCAATCAGGTTGTCCATCTGCCTGTTTTGGTAGCGCACAAGTATATTGTCGTTGTCCTTAAAAGTAAAATAACACATTTGTTGTGCATGAATAATTGGTCATTCTAGTGAGTGTTGTAACTGAGTTTCTAAGTTTTATAATAGTTGATGGTTAAGGGCCGTTCGCATAGAATGTAGTTTTGCATGTCAATACATTTCTTTCCCATTGCTTTTCTATGCAAATGTGCACATCTAATCATTGTGCTTGCATCTTTTGCAGCATCTCATGAATGACACATCATTCTAAAAACGCAGCACTTACGTTTAAAGAAGTTAAAGTTGCTTTTTCATTCCACGGCCATGTCTCACATTTCTTCAATGCGAAAACACATTGTTTTTATGGTCCGTAAAAATGTCTCAAATTATGCTATTTTACTGTTATGAAATAAAAATGCATTTGCTAAAGCAACCATGCCATTTTAGCTTGCTTCTCCAAATCTTCAAGCTATTTTACTGTGACACCTTTAACAGGTTTTATACTCGAGTGTTTTATAGAAAGTGCAATACTGTACCAGGTGCTACCGAGTACAGAGTACAGCTACCGAGCAAGTGAAAAAGTGACGTGACACGTGGCCAAGTATGGTGACCCATACTAGGAACTAGTGCTCTGCATTTAACCCATCCAAAGTGCACACACACACACAGCAGTGAACACACACACACCGTGAACACACACCCGGAGCAGTGGGCAGCCATTTTTGCTGCGGCGCCCGGGGAGCAGTTGGGGGTTCGGTGACTTGCTCAAGGGCACCTCAGTCGTGGTATTGAAGGTGGGAGAGAGCGCTGTACAGTCACTCCCCCCACCTACAATCCCTGCCGGTACGAGACTCGAACCCGCAACCTTTGGGTTACGAGTCCAACTCTCTAACCATTAGGCCACGACTTCCCCTCAAGTTTACCACATAAGAAACAAACATATGTAGCTGGTTATGTGATGCAAACATCAAAATGTATAAGTATACAAATCATGCCATGGTAAAAGTGTCCTGAGGTCATAACATAGGGACCATGAGTCTATATTAACCGATAATCTGCCCCTGTAATTATGATTTATGTGAAAAGGAATAAAAGTTGTTGGTGTTTTACTGCCACTAATGTTCACATCAGCCATAAACTGCAGTGAATTGTATAAGTACTTTTTTGGCTTTTGGAGCACGTTTTTTTCAATAAGCCTATGTTGTGAATTTACTTGCTTGCCTTTGTTGTTGCATATAGCAGTGCGTTAGTAACTGAACTCACCGTTCGTGGACGTATCGGCACTCGCTCGTTGTCGTCATCCATGCCTGGGATGATAACAGTCATTTTTCTGGGCCCTTTAAACCCCAACACATTTGTCTCCTGGACAGAAAGACCAGTGTATACTTTAAAAATGAAAGATTTTCTAACCTCCAGGGCGACTGTTGTGGAATGGAAGTGAGCACTCACGTAAATGATAGCCGCTAGCTCTTGCCGGGCGTTAGACATGTCCCTGAGGGCACGGTCAGGGTTGAGACCATTGTCAAACACTGTGAACTTGGTACCCATGAGATTGGATCTGAAGAGATTGCACAAAATGAAGAAAGTGCAATAGCTCAGCAATAATGCATACTAGTTTTGGTACGTTTTTTATCATGCAGGTTACCTCAACTTTCCGATGAAATTTTCTCCGCCCCGTGACAGGTCAGTGGCATCTATGGATATCAAATAATTTGACGTTGCACTCTTTTTTCTTTTTCGACCAGCCAATAGGAAAACCTGCAGGATGGGGTGGAAGAGGATCTCAAATTTGTGTTGGCGATTCACGAGAGCCATGCATTTCAACTCCATACCCTCTCATTCACTAGAAAACCTTGTAGAATTGTCCAAACAAAAAGTGAGAGCAAGTCACCTTCTTGTCATTGTCTAAATGGAGGTAATAGGTGGGGTAGAAGCCTCTGTCCATGCCACGCTTGTCTCGCGTCACTTTACACTTGATGGTGGTTCCCTGAGGTGCAGGCTGAAGAACAAACTCCTCAAGGTCATCAAACTCGATCTCTGGTGATGGAGGCCTCTCCTCCTCCTGTCATGAGAGAGATAATACAGTTCAGATTATACAGATTATACATTCTTTCCCTCAGGATGACATTTACAGTAGTCTTACCTTTTTACTTTTCCTGCCTTTGCCTTTCTTCTTTCTGGGCACTTCTGTATCCTCATCATCACTTTCATCAGGTTTAGCAGCGTCTACATGTTAAACAAGAAGTTATTATATTGTTATATGAGCAGCTTAACAAAATGAATGTTATTTTGTCTACAAGAAATGTGATATTATGGGGAGTTTTACTTGAAAATTTTAAATAAAAGTGCTTGATGTACTATGTACTAGAGCTGAAAAAGTTGGTATAGAAACAGTTTTCACTCAGAAATTGCTAATAAATTTCACAATTACAAATAAATGTGACATTCTGAAGCAGAAAATCTGGAATAGTATTTTCTTGTAAAACATACTCCATTAATCTGTCTACAACTTTCACCATTACATTTCTGTCAGAAATTGAATATGACAGTATGAAGTAGCATGGATAATGTTACTGCAGCCAGAAGATAACAATGTTATTAATCTAGTTTGTATAAAACAATAAACAAAATATGAAGGAAGTCCAGCAAGAGCTGTGCTGTTCCTGGCTGTGGGGAAGCACATGTGCTTACAGTTGTTGAGCTTTTGTCCAAATGTTACAAACAAACAGTTGCAGTTTTTTCCGTGCGAAGAGGGCGTTTACACTTAATCTTTCACTTACTCTTTTTCTTGTTGTTCTTCTCTTTGTCCTTATTACTCTTGTCTTTTTTCTTGTCTTTGTCTCCTCCAGCCTGAAACATGGAGGTGGAGTTGGCAGTGGATTTCTTTTTGCTCTTGCTGGGTTTAGTCTCTGGCTCACTCTCATCGCTGTCAGACTTGGTGACTGGAGCAGATGCTAACAAGATTCAGTCAACAAATTTAACAATTACACTATTAGTAATAAACATCCTTCAAAACACTGTGAACAGGCATGCATTATATTACACTACTTCACTTTTTAAAATAGTTTTAATAGTTTAATAGTTATTTATATGTGTGTTTGTGTGTGTATTGCATTAACTATTTTTCATTATTTATTATTTTTCATCAATATTCATTTTCATTTTTTTTTCTTAATCCAAACAGGATTTTTGTATTAAATCACCATAAATTAAAATACGACCATTATGTATAAAAACTTAAATATTTAAATAAACGTCATAATTAGACTGCAAATTTGCCTAATATTTTATGCATTTTTTTTTTTACCAATTTTATTTTATTTTGAATTTGAGGTAAAATATCACCCAGAGATGTTCTTGTCAGACTTCATGAGATTCACAATCTAGTTGTCTTTAGCAAAACTATGATTAATGTACAGTGTTTTAAGAAAAGTGAAATTACCTTTCTTTTTTCCGATAAAATCTGGTTTATCGCCATTTATCTGAAACATAGAAGCTGGCTCCTTTTTAGCCTTGGCTGTCTTTCCTCTGCTTTCTGATTCACCTTTACTCTCTGCAGAGATAATATGTTGATAAAAAATTATATTAGATAACTCAGTATTTTCCACTATGGTGGGCGGCCTACCACAAAACCTAGAGTTGATGCATGAGTCACTGAAACTAGAGTTCATTCACAGGGTATTTAGCTGAGAGTCATTATGTGATCGTCAAGTTAGGACCTGTTCCCAGAAATCCCTGGGGTTATTCAGGTGCGCCAGCTCCAGATAATCAGCACAGATTCCAGCTGAAGAGCAGTGTCTTTCAATATGGAAATTATGCTACTAATGGTTTAATACATAGAGGACAACCAGAGAGTTTCAGCTTGAATGTCAAAACAGCTTGGTCTCAGAGAGCCATTTGTTCTAATTTCTCCACCCACAATCATTGTTAAACTTTTGAAACATGCTCATCGTGCATTAAACTTGCTCAAATAAATAAAACCTGAATGCACACCCCTGAGGAGTTGTCTGTGAAGGTTTTCATTCATCTAGGTCTTTGCTGAATGTCTGGTAAAACATATTAGTTAGCAGATGGACTTTGTTTTCCAATTGTTGAAGTCGTTCCTCCACTTATCCATGTGGCTTGATCAGACACCCCCTGAGGAGCTCACCATCTGTCTTTTAACAACAGGAAAAATGAGGCCAAGTCTTTACAAGAAGAGCAAATGAATCTCTAAAAGCGTAACTAAAAACAAGAGTCAAATTCACTTGAAAGTCCCCCACTTCCACTCATAGATAAAGCGGAGTGGTGATCTTTAAGACAGATCTCGCGTATTGTTCTGGCTAATCTTCTTAGCTCACGAGATCTAGCTCTAATCCTCTTCCTGAGCAGCAAACCCCCATGCATGTGTACATAACGACATTAAGAGTTACACACACTGAAGCCATTGTCTAACAGTTTCCTCTGACTCGATGCCTCAATTGATTGGCTCAGAGAGCGAAAAACAAGCTAAAAAAACTAATGCTTCAGGATTTCTGTTTTGAGGGACCACAAATACTATTGGAAAACACTCCCAACCCCCCAGCAAAGTTCAAAGTTACTCTTACAATAACATAAATGCTTTTTAACTGTTGAAACTAATGGAGCAGAGCACAAAATGAACCTTGCGCTCATTAGCATGCATTCAAGTGTGAATACCCTCCGCTGACCTTTGGCCTTTGATTTCTTTTCTTTGGTGCCAGCAGGGGAGCTCTCTTTGGTGGTTTTCTTTTTAGTTTTCTTCTGTGAGGTCTCCTCTTCGTCATCCTCGTCATCTTCATCATCGGAATCTGATTAAAAAAACATCAGGGTTGAAGGACAAATCAGATCAATGATTAAAGCAATGAAATAGATCCTAAAACTGGTCAATATCACAGATTCGTGGTCTATGCAAGCCCTATTTCAAGGGGGAAATTACATTTTTTTATTAAAAACGTGCTCTGCTTCTTAAATTACTTCCCTCTTTCACTTAAATGAATATTTCAACCCAAAATGAAAATCTATTTTTTCCCCTACTATGGAAGTCAATGGGGCCCAACAACTGTTTGATTACCAGCATTCTTCAAAATATCTTCTTTTAGGTTCAACATAAGAAAGAAACTCATACAGGTTTGGAATGGCATGAGGGTGAGTAAATCGTGACAAAATTTTCATTTTGGGGTGAACTATTCCTTTAAGTTACCAAGAGGTCTTTATGGAAGCCCATTTTCGCCACTGAATAAAAAATAAAAAAGGTAATTGCTACTTTTTTTCTCATAATTGCGTGATACAAACTAGCAATTCTGACTTTTTTTCCCTCATAATTGTGAGATATAAACTCACAATTCTGAGAACATATCAGTCCCCCCCCCCCCTCAAAATTGCAATTCTGAAAGAAAAGTCAAAATTGTAATAAAAAAAGTCAAAAGTGCTAGATATAATCTCGCAATTGTGAGAAAAAAAGTCAGAATTGCGAGTTTTTATCTCACAATTCTGACTTTATATCTCGCCATTCTGAATTTATAACTCGCAATTGTGACTTAATGTCTCGCAATTGCGAGTCAATATCACGCAATTCTGAGAAAAAAAGTCAGAATTGTGAGATAAAAAGTCGCAATAATCTTTTTTTTTATTTTCTATTCAGTGGCGGAAACGGGCTTCCATAGGTCTTGGTTTGGCTGGTTATCATAGCTTCATTAGCCCCTGCTGGTGGATGTCGTAACTACACTATCTGATTGTAAAAGCGTCCTTGGCTGGCAATATTTTGCAAGAAACATATTGGCAATATATCATCATTGTACAGGAGATGTAGGTTGTAGAAGGTAACGTTTTCTTATTGAAGGGCTCTCAAAAGCATGAAATTGATCATTTCCCCCTGCACTAGCAAGGTTTGTGACTGTTTGTGTTCTTGTGGTGCCATTAGTCAATCAGTGTTGTGCAGACTCATTAGTCACATTGCAATTTTGGTGCAAAATGTAAAATAAAACGTAAAAGAAGGCAACTCGCAATACAATAATTGAGAATGCAAACAGATTTCTGCAGGTTTTTAGACATAATTTGAAACTTACCTCCAACTGCCTGTTGTATAGCGATCCAATCAATTCCCAAAGCATAACAAACCAAGTCCCATTTGGCATTTTTAAATGTACAATTTTACGGTAAGCCTGAGGAAGATAGATTGACCGAAACGTTGCTAATAATTTCATAATGATGCAAGTTTGAGTAGTGTTCAGGATTCATACATTTTTCACTTTTATCCAACACACCTATGAATGATTGAGTGTGTGAGACACTATACAGTATCTTCTATTAAATATCCAGTTTAAAATATTTCATGCAGTATTAAGGGAAAATATGCCGCTTCATTCCCTGTGTATGACCTGGTTACATCGCTGCAACCCTATAGCACCACTGATTTGAAAATGGATGCATGGAACTTCATGTTTAGTATGTATTTATTTGTCCCAGTTGATTATTAAAAATCACTTATACCTTTATTCTTCTTAGGAGTACTCTTGGGCTTCTTTTTTATGTTCTTCTCTGTTGGCGCTTCTTTGTCCTTCTCGGTTTTCTTCTTCTTTACCGCTTTGCTCTCTGCTGAGAAATAAAAAAGTAACATTTGTTGTAACAAGCATGGAGCATTCCAGTATGACACTGGCCCCAAGAAGTGTTCTGACTCTAAGCACTAGACCTGTCTGAATGTCAGTGCACTTTGACTATTTGACAATTGACTGATGAGCAATGACTGATCAACGTGTCCTAGCTGAGTAACCACAGGTGTAGTTCATCAAATTAACTGTGAACTAACATGTATTTCAAAACTGACAAACTTCTTTTTCTGACATGCTTTGCTTTTTGCTATCTAATGCACTGATGTGTAGCCACTGTATGTCTCTCTGAGCACGAACTTGAACATGTGGAAATTCAGTGTCTATGTAACCATTGTTTATTTCATTTCTTAGGTAGCATCCAAATAATCCAAATCCTATAAGATGAAGTCCCAACAGTTGTTAATTGCATGATTGTTTGAGATGCATCAGACTGACTCTTTGAGGGCGTACTGGCCTCTTCGCCTGACAACTCTTCACTCTTTTTAGCTTTGCTCTTTTTGGGTTTGGCTTCAGCTCCCTTGGCCTTTCCAGAATCTGCCTCCGGCTTCTTCTTTTTTGTCTTCTACACTGTAAATGAAGACAATGAATGGCATTCACATTTTAAGCTTTTCCTTGTACATTTTTGTGATGGTTGTGTAAATTTAAGCAGAAGTTTTGAACTTACCCATTGCCACACATCAATGAAAGCAAGCAAAATTATGTACAGAATACATTAGAAAAGTGCATGACTTAATACGTGAGTCTATTATTTAAGCTGTTCATTGAGCAACTTTTTATAAACTATACATTTCACAATGCATCTTTGCAATGTAATAATCATGTTTACACCTTTCTCAAGGCAAACAATCAGTCAAAATATTCTGTACATTCAAACACTTCTCAAACAAAGGAGGTCAAATCTGTTTGACTGGATGTGGCACATTGGTTTAAGATGTGACCTTTTTATGTACAGAACGCAGAGGGAGGCCAAGATTGGTTAAGGATACGGAGAAAGTCTAATTCTTACACAATGTAGGCCTGACGTCACAGCTTACTTCCGTACTGAACGGAGTGGGGAGCATATAATCTGATTAGTTCCGATCTTAAATGAGTATTTATAGACCTCACTTTAACAAAGAGCAAAGACAGTGGGATCCTTGATTACTGCCGCCATGGGGATTTTACTTGCTTAGCGTTATGGAAAACCCCTTCATAGACCATTAGCCACAATAGATTCAAGTGAGATTCTGTATGACAGAAGCATCCAAAAGCATCTGCTTGGCAGGCTGAGAAATATTGACTGGCTAGTTTTTAATTAGAGTTAATGTTTAAGCACTTTTCATAATTTCAGCCATGTCTCCTCAAGGAAAACCTCTTTTGGGTCAGTGAGTTTCAGTGCCATGCTCCAGTGGCCTTGATCAACCCCTCTCTGACATATTCTCTCTCCTTTTCTCCCCCCTTTATGGTTACAAATGTAACAGGATATACAGGGAAAAGGAAACAGATGCAAAAAATATTTCCTGTTTTTGAAAAACACACATTTAATAATATTAAACATGGAAATCTGTTCGAAAGCCTGTTCTTAATTACTTTCAATGGCAAAAATATTTTAGAAAAACATTTTTTTTGTTAAAATTATTTTCTAAAAAATGTTTGACATTCAAAGATAATTGTGTGGATTATTTTATTAATTAAATATTAAATGATTTATTAAATTCTTAAAAATTTGGATTTATTACTTTCATTTTAACCTGGCATTTTAACCAATAAAGAGGTACCAGGAACCATCTAGAACAACAACGAGCCAACTCAGTCCATTTGCTGCCAATATTACGAAAGCAGTGCTTTCCTTTTCCAAAGCCTTTCTAAATCCTGCTGACAGGAAAATACAATCAATTCGATGATCAAAGAGTCAATTCAAGTCAATCAAGATATTACACAATGCCTAGACTATGAACTATACCTATCTTAAAGGCTAAATGCTCCCTTGACTTTTTTAATCCAGTGCCCAAATGTATTGCCTTATAGGTAATTTATTCATAAAGAAAAAATATATTTCAAAACAGCTTGAATCCAGTTATATATACAGCATTCCTGACACTAAAGTTGGCATAAAATATTGACAAATTCAAATTAAATGGCTTTCCTTTAAGGGAATATGTTAGATTGTATAGGTTATGGGTAGATTAATATTAATAACATATAGATTCATGGAAAAGATCTTGAGGCATTGAGGCAGAATGCGTCTTTAAGGTGCATTGTTCCCTGCCATATTAAAATATACATATTGGCAGGTAAACTGGTTATAAGGCTCTTGAGAACTCTGTAAATCTCAACCTACTGCATGTTATGTCCTGCAAAACAACAAATCGAGGGGTGAGAACCAGAAGGGCGTAAGTGACTTTTGACCAACTTTACAGGAGGGCCAAAACAAAAAAAAACAGGCTTAGTATGTTCAGAGTTAAGTCTTTTGGTTTCTAATGAATAACTCCAAAATTATTAAGAATTCACTTGTATCCAGGGCCAAAACAAAAACCAACAGGCTTAGTATGTTCAGAGTTAAGTCTTTTGGTTTCTAATGAATAACTCCAAAATGATTAAGAATTCACTTGTGTCATTTTGGCAGTAGAAAGAGCTCATCAAGAGCTTTCATATCTCCTTTTCACCCAAAATGTCACTTACGCCCTTCTGGTTCTCACCCCTCGAAATAGACACGAGTATGTTGACACAAAACCCTAATCAATCAAACAGACTTGCATTAACTTCATTTGACAAACCTAGGCTTGTTCAGTACCTTCTAGATCACAGAGCTACAGTATGTATGCCTGGTATAAAGTGATAAAACATTTACTGCCTAAAACATCCAGTATTATATCGATTTAAGACATTTATATCTTCGTTTAGAAACTAGAAGCTCTTTTCAGCTCTAAGACACGACAGCTAAGATGTACCTTCTCTGAAGACATGGCTATTGAGATGACATCGGTTCAATAGTAAAAGTCCAGACAGGAGAGCAGATGAAGCTGTCGTGTGTGTTTATATGAGTGTGTGCTGAGGGCATCAGTGTGGCTGATTATGAAGGCTAGTTTAGTCCAGAGAACTTGATAATAGGATTCGGTGTAAAGCCCATCTGCCTCCGGAGCAACCAAAACAACTCAAGAGGAATGTACCATCTACCGACACAATAAATACAACTGCAGAATGAGTCTCCTTCATTACGCTCTCAGATAAAAAAAGCTGTCAATGGTGTAGTACACTTTTGAAAGTACCTTATGAGTACCTCAAAGTTACATATTAGTAGCTAAAGTGTACATATCAGTACCTCCATGGTAGGTACTGTCATAGACGCAGCTTTTGTACTTTTTTTTTGTGAGCGTGTTAGGTACAAATGCTAAAAGGTACCTTACTGACCCCGAAATGGTACCTCAAAGATACATACTAGGACTTTAAAAGTTCATAATACAACAAAGTTACACCTTTTGAAAGGGTATTAGTTTTGTACCTGTTTTCTGAGAAAATTTGAATAAAAAAAGATAAGAATTTTGTAATATCTTAGCAACAGCAACACTCAAACTGCATCAGCTCTATAGGTTTGTGTGGAAGAGCTGAAAAATTGATATCTGAGATATTTATTTAATAACTTTACATTTAATTTATCCAAGAATGTTATTTATTAGGAGTTCAAACGGAAAAAAAAGTGTGTTCTCAGACTTTTTGACCCACATTAAAGCAGACCTGTACTTGAATGGAGACATATTGAGACATGCATAAACTTACATAAACACAATGTATACTTGATGTATAACTCACCTGTATTGACCTTTTGGAGTCATTGTTAGGAAGGCTAAGATATAAATCAGCATTATTAGCAACAAAGCAGATTAATTTATTACAATATTTGTAGTAAAGCACTGCTCACCTGTCTTCTGTCCAAACCTCCTGTAAGATCTCTTTCTGCAGAGGCATCAAGTGAAGATCACTGAAGATCGCAAAACCTCCCAATTCTTCTCGAATAAAATCTCCAAAGCTCAATCAGTCGGTTGAATCAAAAAAAAAAAAATCTCAGTGTTCATCAAAGCATGCATCAAAATTACAACTAATAATCATTAACTATTTGTTTCCTCCTTCTCTTGTTTTCTTTAGTTTCTGTGGCCTATAAGACATGGCACGTCTTTTGCACTTGAAAACATACAGGTTGGGTTTTATTGGTCGTCTTAAAAGGCCCATAAGATGAAAGTGCCGTTTCCCAGCATACATTTAGCTTTAGTGCGCCATCTGTCAATGGGAGACAAACCATTACAAAACCAATCACTGGAGGTCTAACCCATCCACCTGCAAAGTCCTACTGGAAGATTTAATAGGATTGTCATCAGAATTAGAGGGGAGCCACATGTCTCTTTGGGGGATTTGCTGCATAAAGCTCACACATAGGTACGTATCATTAAAATAATGCTGTATTAATTAAATACAGGAATATACAGTAGCAAAATACATTACCATTTACTCTATAAAAGCCATTGATTTATGTCACATTATAGCATGGTAGTGATTTATTTTATTATGTTTTTTTTCCTGATAATTTTATTATTTATAATTGTTTAAACTATTTTAGGAGTCAGTATGTTGTACAGATATGAAATAAATAAAGCAATGTGCATTTCAAGAATAAAAAAACACCTATTGAAAAATAGCTTTTTAATAGTACAATAATAAATCCTAAATATTTGAAATAATGTCCAGAAATGCAGATATGCTTATAATATGTAAATGAAAAAAAAAAAATGTAAATAAAAAGTTTACTTTTTTAAAGATTACTAAAAAATACCATTATTTTTTTTTCTACTTCAAAATTTAGCATGTGTTACTTTATGTGTTTTCTTTACAATTATTTGTGAAATTTACTAGCCATTTCTGCATGAAAACTTTTCTACACCACTTTTTGTTTGTGTAGGCCTCGTGTAGAATCGCAAATAATCATGCATAAACAATAATAAACAGCATGTCTAAATAAAAATCCATTTATTTATATTAATTTATGGGGAATGATTTGTGGTTTGGGGTAGATCCAGTCTGATCGCATATCATATATCTTATCTTTATTCATTATTTAATTTGCCTATTTCATATTTAATACATTAATATCATAACATTATTCCCACTATCATAATTCTTGCAAAAACACTAGCAAATTTATCTTTTAATGGTGTACAGTATCAGGTTTATATGTATAGCTTTGATTATTTTATTTTATTTTATTTTATTGTTTCTGTGTGTAGATACCAATATATGCCACAAGAGGGAGAAGTATTGCAGCATTTGATAAAGTCAGTTCATTCAAGCTATAGTTCTCATATATTTTAAATATGACACAACATTATAGTGCAAACTGAAGCACTTTTCTATCATTGGCCAGCATAAAGTATGCATTATAAAATTATGCATGTTAATTAATACAATAAATTTGTCCTTTAAAACTTTTTTCTCACTTTATATTGACCACACAATAAATTACCACAACTTTTAATAATATGTACTGTTTAAATGTATGTGTGCACTTTGAGGGCCTCCCGTGCATCAAAAGCTCCATCAAAAGTGTGGATTGAACCTCTCCATTTCCTGTCCCTATACTCACAAGTATGTGGGCTGGCTGCTGAGTGTTGAAAACATCTTTAACCTGTAGCTTTAATTATGAGCCTGAAGTAGAGTGTTAGAGTTCAGTGGCCTGGCATACATCTCCTCCTGACCCGAGGGGTCCAGCTCTGTCCTCTATACCCCTCTCCCCTGCCTGAATATGGCAGTCTAGACTAATTGTTCCCTTTTAGTCGGTCACTCTCGACGTCACATCAGATGACAGACGAATTGGGATCTTGCTTAGAGAGACCAATCTACGTTGAGTGTAAACTAAACGAGCCAATGCACATTGGCATGCGATTATAAGCTGCCTCCGCCTTACACGCTACGGCGTTACTGCAGGTTCTTCAGGCTAAGGCACTGAGGGACCTGCACGAGCGTGGTCACGACCCAGAAGTTCTCAAAAACTCCGTACCGCTACGGACCTCGCGCTACGAGTGACGAAGTTCACTGCGCGGTCTCTGGGCCATGCGATATCCACTATGGTGGGGTCCAGGAGTGCCAAAACTGGCTGTGTCTGGTCGATATGAAGGACGCCGACTTAGTTCGGTTCCTTAATGCCCCTGTGTCCCAGACTGGCCTCTTCGGTGATGCGGTCAAGAGCCTGGCCCAGCAGCTGCTGACTTCACTCGTCCGCTGGCCGCAGCGCCCCGGCCTGCTCGTCGCCGAGGGCGGCCCCCTGCATCTGCCCCCGCTCCCACGTCGCATCCGCAGCAGCCTCCAGCAAGCGGCGCCATGGAGCTGGGCCTAGCCCCCCCCCGTCCGGGCCCCCGTCAAACCTGGCGGTGAGCAGAAGAGCAACAGGCCCGGGACGGGCGACCCAGAGAGGGAGGAAGCTGCTCTTGGGGGATGGTGAAGGCACCTCTCCCTTCCCCGGAGGAGGACCGGGTGGAGAATCTGGAAAATCTCGACGAGAGAGCGGTTTTCTCTGTCCCTGGGTCCCGGGAGGGTACGGAGCTGGAAAATCTCGATGAGAGAGCGGTTTTCTCTGTCCCTGGGTCCCGGGAGGGTACGGAGAGTACCTTGTCGGTTGATGTACACAACGGTCGCAGCAGAAAGCTCAGCATTGGCTTTATGCTTGCCAATGATAGAAAAGTGACGGAGAGACGGACCAAAACCGGACCACGCTCATCCTCCTCCATCGCCAGCAGGCAGCAGCGGGCGGTTCGAGAGCGTCAACGAAGGCCCTACTCACGCACCCTCTGCCAACCTGTGGAACCAGGTAAGCGTTGCACCACACACTCAGACCCCTCTTCGGTCCGCTCACAAGCCGCCCGATTTGGGTCCCTGCATTCCACCTCGCTGCCCCACTGCTGGTACGGCGGTGGTTACGTTGGTCCCACTTGCACGGTATCTGGGTGCCTGGCTAGCGCTACCCAGCCCGTCTCGCTGGCTTCTGCGGACCATCAGCCTCGTGAAAAACGAGCATATCAGTACAAGGTCCTGCCCTCCGGGCTGTCCCTGTTGGCCCGTGTCTTCACGTAAGTTGCGGAGGCACCCCTTGTTCCCCTGAGAGAACAGAGCATTTGCATTCTCAACTACCTCGATGACTGGCTCATATTAGCTCAGTCTCAGGATCAGTTGTGCGAACACAGGGACTTGGTGCTCTCGCACCTCAGCCAGTTGGGCCTTCGGGTCAAGAGCAAACTCTCCCTGACGCAGAGGATCCCTTTTCTCGGTATGGAGTTGGACTCGGTCGAACAGACAGCACGCCTCACGCAGGAACGTTGGTGACCTACCCCAAGAGGAAGTTTACACCATCACTTCAGCTAGAGCACCGTCTACGAGACACGCTTACGGGCTGAGGTGGAACCTGTTCGTTGATTGGTGCTCTTCCCTCCGGGAAGACGCCGAGTCCTGAGGTGGGCGTGGCAACGCGGCACTCACCAGGTCACCCCGTGGTCAGACCTTGCATTTCTCCGTGGAGGAGTGCCCCTAGACCTGGTCTCCAGGCATGCTGTGGTTCACACGGATGTCTCAACCACCGGCTGGGGGGCCACGTACAACGGGCTTTGCTGGGGAAGCACGACCTGATCATCAGGTTCCTTAGGGGGGCGAGAAGGCTAAATCCTCCACGGCCCCCCTCTATACCCTCTTGGGACCTGACTCTAGTACTCACAGCAGACAGATTTGAGCCTTTGCAGACAGTCGAGCTGAAGTTTCTGTCAATGAAAACTCTGCTCCTGCTTGCATTGGCCTCCATCAAGAGGGTAGGGGACCTGCACGCATTTTCGAGCAGCTGAGGTCGCTTCGTGCTGTACACATTCCTGGGCTTCTCAACCGGGCAGCCAACGAGCTGTTTCGAGCTGCGCTCCCGGGAGAATGGCGACTCCATCCCCAGACGGTCCAGCTGGTTTGGAGAAGTTTCGGAGCCGCTCAGGTAGACCTGTTTGCCTCTCCAGAAACCTCTGTTCGAAGGACGAGCATATCAGTACAAGGTCCTA